GAAGCAAGAACAACAAGAAGAATCTAGTATCTATATTTGTCCATTGCATTCCACACTCTGGGCTGACACCTCTGCAAGATTCGCAGGCGTTCTGCACACCAATGCCAAAGGCCAGCTATCACCACTTCCACTTTACAGGAAAGAAAAGTGACTCAAATACCAATTAAGTTACTCAAGGGCACAAGTGCTTTCGTGGAAGCACCAGACCTTAGGTCTGGTATGTCATACTTGGAGAAGCCTAGGAAAAGCCCAGCGGTGGGCTGGCATGCAGGCCTGCATATATAGGGTAGGGGAGAGGAGGCAGAAAGGGGGAGCGGGGAGGTGAGAGCAGAGTGAGTAATAGCAGAATTTGACCTGGGGACAGAAGAGCTGATCTTGCAAGTCCTGAGTCCTTACAGGAGTCGTGGATGTGACTAGTCCAGCCTGATGCATCCAATAGACAGGAAGACAGATTGATGGGATCAAAACCTGCCGAAAATTCTGTAGCATCCAGCTTGCAGGCAGCCAAGGGGTCCTCTCAGAAGCTCCTGGAATAAGGGTGTATAACAGAGATCACCCCCCCAAAAACAGCTATCCATTCATGTATGCTGTTATGTAGTAGTTCAAGGACAAATACCTTCACTGAATTCTCAATCAGGCAATCAGTACCTGTTATCCACGGGCCCTTCACAGTTTTGTTTGGTTGTTTTTTAAATTTTATTTTAGAGAGAGAGAGACAGAACACACAAACGAGGGCAAGGGGCAGAGAGATAAAGAGAGAGAGAGAATCTCAAGCAGATTCCACACTCAGCATGGAGCCTTGTGCAGAACTTGACCCCACAACCCTGGGATCACGACCTGAGCCGAAATCAAGAGTCAGATGCTCAACCAACTAAGCCATCTCCAGGCAGGCTGGCCCTTCGCAGTTTGATAACTTCAATGGCTCTAACCATGGGACATGCAACTGAAAGATAATCAATCATTCATTACTTCTTTTGATAAATAATTCTTTTTTTAAATATTTTTATTTTTATTTCAAGGAGAGAGAGAGACAGCGTGAGCAAGGGAGGGTCAGAGAGAGAGGGAGATACAGACTCTGAAACAGGCTCCAGGCTCTGAGCTGGCAGTCAGCACAGAGCCCGATGCGGGGTTCGAACTCACGAACCGCGAGATCATGACCTAAGTGAAAGTAGGATGCTTAACCGACTAAGCCACCCAGGAGCCCCTTGATAAATAATTCTTTGAGCATCTTCTCCATGATATTCTGGGGCTGATATGCTAGTAGGGAACAGGGACAAACAAGAATAATGTAAAGGAACAACTGGATTGCTTCAGTGGAGACAGCATGTGCAGTAGGAGCGCAGGGGAAGTAGGTGTGAGCCTACCTGCCCCATGGCCAGTGGAGACCCTGGTCCAGCTCAGTCCACCTGTTGTATCAACCTCTTCTTAGACCCCCGGTCCCCTCCCCCCACCACACTGCAGCCACACACAGTGGCCTTTCTGTCTATCATAGCATCGGGCTCATTCCTACCCTGGGGCTCTGCACTGCTTATTCTCTCTACCTAGAACACTTCCTCTTAGACCTTCACAGGGCTGTTAGGTCTCAGCTCAAATGTCAAATGTCACTTGGTCAAAAGATCATTCCAGAAAACGATATTTAGAGTAACCTCCCTCTACCCTCAGTCTTGACTACATCTTGAGGACATTAACCACTTTCCCAAACATGCATACACCCTGTATACACATATATGTGAAGGGATCTGAGCTAATTACTGTATCTGTCCTCTGTGCCTGCCACCGTAATTAGCAGAGTCACCAGTCAAAACACACTCACTGAACGAGGGGGAGAAGAAGAGGGAAAAGAAGGAGGGAGGGAGAGAAGAAAGTAGAAGAAAAGAGGGAAGGTTTCACTGAAGAGAGCTGAGGTGTTTGGGTGGGTGTTTAGATAAGACAAGCAAGGGGGGAGGGAGGGTGGCCATGCCAGGGATAGAATGATAGAGGCGAAGTTCAGGTTGGGGAGTGGAAAGTACCACTGCCTGAGATGGTAGAGAAAGCCTAACAAGAGAGGTAAGAAGTTATTTGAGATTCCAAAAAATGAATGATTCAAAAAGCCAGTGAATATTAGAAGGGCATTCTGGGCTCTGGGCACAGCCCAGTTATCACTCCTTAAGTAAATTAAGTGTCATAGCATGACTGAGCTTAAGTATAAATGGCCAGTTTTGGGGCGCCTGGGTGGCTCATTAGGTTGAGCATCCAACTCTTGGTTTCAGTTCAGGTCACGGTCTCACAGTTTCGTGAGTTCAAACCCTGCATCAGGCTCTGTGTTGGCAGCATGAAGCCTGCTGGGAATTCTCTCTTTCTTCCTCTCTCTTCTTCCCCCACTTGCTCTGTCTCTGTCTCCCTCAAAATAAATAAATTGAAAAAAGTTAAAACGGCCAATTTCAAGGCAATGCTGAGTTGACAGTGCCAACCGCTTACTTCTTGAGATTTTTTCGGAAAGAATGCACATCCTGTCTTCTAATGAAAGGATTAGTGACCTGTCTTGCATACTTTGGACAGTCACCTAAGAAGTCAGCATATTGCTGACAGGAAGCTGTCTTCAATGCTGGCTAATTTCCAGAGCATCCCTTGTAAATTTTGATGCCTAATTAGCATGTTGGCCCTGGCACAGGGTTAGACCAAATTCACATGGTTTCAAAACATCTATAGTTCATGCCCCTTTCCTGAATCTGTATGGTGGCTGGCCTCTCTGTTCTTTTATTCTAGTTCGTTGATCCTTCCTAACAAAAATTCTGCCAGTTCCACTTAAAAGAATATTCAGATTCTTCCCACTCTAAAAGTGTTCTCTTTTCTTTCCTTTGTGAAGATCTCCAGGTAGCACGTTGGAGCATTTCATTGACTTAAGACTATGTCAAATTGCAGAAAGGCTGAGTGACACCTTCTAAATGTCAGACTCTACCATAGTCACTTTTGGGAAAAGCAATATCCATTTTTTTAATTTGACCTTTCTTGGGAGCATGTTTGGTACATGTGATTCACTTCAGTTTTCCTCAAGTCCTCTCCATAAAAGATTTATAAACGGATCCCCACCAGCATGATATTTCATCATGATGCAACAGAAAGAATGTTTTACAAATGCCACCGTGTGATGAAAGTTAAGGCCATGCATCAAGCTGGGGTCACACTAGAGGTGGCATTCATGTAGAAAGAATTCATCTTCACAGCTTCTTATTTGATATCTCTGATATCTACCCAAGTCAAACTGCATATGTAGATGAGCCATTGTTCACTTTCAAAGCTAGAACCAGTTATTAGGTTTTCAAAATATTAGATATTTTTTCCACAATTTCTTTTCTGGGTGAAAAATAACTATGTTGTCTTCCTGCGACAATAGGGAAAACATCACTTCATGCTCCCTAAGTATCTCTAGTAACAACATTTGGAAGGATTCCCCAGGAAATGATAAAAACTAATTGTATTATTAGGGGGAGGGGATAAGAAGCCACCCCCCATCTCATAAGTCAGATTCCTTGGTAGAAATGGACATGTTACAGATTTCTGATATGTCAGTAATCTTGGTCCTGGCAAAGCTGGATGGCCATGTGGTCAGTCCTTATGATCACCTAGTGTGGATACTGTTTTCATCATGAGGTAACTTGAGTTTAATATGACCTTCAAAGTAGAGGAAAGGCGCTTTTGATAGGATTTTTCATAGCCAGACTTTGATTCAAGTGGCCATATATACTGAAAGGCGTAGAAGAAAACTGAAGATGATGCTGATAACGACAGTAGGGATAACTCAACTCATTGTTTTCTAATGCTATACCACATTATTCTGTGTTCTAGTTCACACACAAAAAGATTGCACGTACCTTGTTGATTTTATTTTTTTTATTTTATTTATTTTTATTTATTTCTAGGAGAGAGAGAGAGACAGCGTGAACAGGGGAGGGTCAGAGAGAGAGGGAGATACAGACTCTGAAATAGGCTCCAGGCTCTGAGCTGGCAGTCAGCACAGAGCCCGACGCGGGGCTCGAACCCACGAACTGCGAGATCATGACCTAAGCGAAAGTCGGACGCTCAACCGACTAAGCCACCCAAGCGCCCAACCTTGTTGATTTTAATCTTTCCATCAACACCATGTGCAAGCTTTAAAATCTTGTTCTTGTTTTCATTTTACTCATGAAAACATCGGGGCCAAAATGAAAAACAGACACTGCACTAGAACCCAGGTCTTCTGACCTCCAATCCCCCATTCATTCCATTTCTCCAGTGAGAAGAAACCAAGAAGAGTTGTATAAACAAAAAGCAGTGGCACAAAAAATTTCTAAACTCCTTAACCTTACCAGCTCTAGGCTGGGTGCTTATACTTTTTGTTGGTTAGAATGAGGATCAGGGGTTATAAATCCCTGGACTTAATTTTTTTTTAACCCAGGGATTGGCATTCCATATGTGCAAGAGAAAACATCTCAAAGACTAGGCATCTCACCAAAAAGCTACAAGCTGAGAACAAATAGACAACACACACAAGAGACAGACTTGAACCTTAGGCATTTCTTGCCTATTACAAACTTGCCCTAGCCTCTGGTTCAATAAATTGTCTCATGGTATGCCATTGTTCTTTACCTTGAAGTTAGCAGAGTGATTCCCTGATTTTAATATGTGTAGTTCATTAGAGAAGTCATAACAAAGAGAGAGTTAAGTGATTTAGAAAATTTTCAGTTAAGAAATTAAAAGTCAATTTGAAGAGTTCATTTTGGGAGGACCCTTTCAGTTTCCTTTTGTTTTAATTTTTTAACATGCATTCACTTTTGAGAGACAGCGAGAAAGAGAGGGAGGAGACAGAGTGCAAGCGGGGGAGGGGCAAAGAGAGGGGGAGACACAGAATCCCAAGCAGGCTCCAGGCTCCGAGCTGTCAGCACAAAACCTGACACAGGGCCCGAATCCACGAACCATGAGATCATGACCTGAGCTGAAGTTGGATGCTTAACTGACTGAGCCACCCAGGCTCCCAGACCCTTCTCAGTTTCTAAGCGGTGTATTGTCCCAATACACCTTTGAGTATAGTATTTTTAAAAATAAAGTGAAACCACCGGGAAGATAATATACAGTAATTATGCACTGGGGTTAGGGCCTTTGGCTTTTGTATTCAAGATACTAATAAGAACAGATACTACATTTGAATTTAGCCAAAAGGCTGAGGAGCAATTGATTTTTATATTCAAGATACTAAAACTAAGGAGAAATGTGACAATGTGCCTTAAGTTAATAGTTTGTTTTGGTAAAGTGATTTAGAGAAAGATTTAGAGCTTGTGAATATATGTGACAATAGTCGAGAGGGGAGATTCTACATATGAGTGGAAAGATGGGTACACATGAATCGTGGGCAAACGGTCCAATCTGGCGGTAAAGCACGATTCTGCATGTCAGTCAATGAGATGGTCAAGAGGACCACAGGACTGATGGTCTGGTCAGCACTGTGGGCACCATCTGCTTTCTTGGACCAGATGTTGGCCAGCTTCGCGTAACTGAACCACGTGTGGCTTGGGCATCCTGTTTTCATAAAGAATGTAGTAGACAAAGGACAACGAGTTCAGAAAGGGGCCACAAAAATAATTCTAAGGGTTCACTGATAAGAATGAAAATAAAGAAGAACAGAATATCCTCACTGCGTGGCTGACAGCTCTGTCAGGGCATGGATGGCAGAAGGGGGAGGAGTTAATTGCAGAGAAGGAGCTAAGAAGTCTGTAGAAGTTTAGGAAGGAAGCATTTAGCAGAACCCTGGAATTTGAAGGCTGTAAAGTATCTTGGAGATCATCTAGAGGTTTGGTTGGAATTAATGAGGTTAAATTAAGCCGGGGAAATGAGATAAAAAGCAAGAAAAACCTTCTGCAAACGAGAGTGATTTAATAATGCTTAATTGAGCAAAGTAGAAACTCTTGCTCAGTTCTTCCTTCATACCATTGGCTCCTGGAATATGATATTCTTTTGCAATATTTAAGCCAATGTCTTTAGGAATATGGATCAAGGATTAGGCCACTGACAAGTGACTAAATAAATTGTCATCAGAGCCAGTCTTCTGATATCCAGTCAGCATTTTTTTATACCATATTGATAGCCACATCTGATTGAAACTTATGGAACTTCAACATGTAATTGCTAGGTTCTGGTGTGATCATTTAACCTCACACAACCCCTTAAATTTATATATCCCTTAAATCATAGGAAATGGTGCTATATATTATACAATTAAGCTTACATAGCCAGTTAATGCCAAAAATGATGAGTCGATACTAATCCCTACCTAACCTCTTCTATTTCCAGCCTACCTCATTTATTGAGAAAAGTAAATATTTTTAAGTCCCTATTAGTTTGTAGTCCTCATTAGCAATTTATGATGGTGTAAAAGAGAAAGGAACAGCTTTAGGAACAAAAAGCTACACACAAAATTAATCATTTTTATGTTCTGGCAAGTGGAATATATAACTAGGGCAAAGGAGAAGTTGAACAAGAAGCTAATTTAAAAAAGAAAAGACGTACCTATAAGTTTCAAAAGAGAAGCAATTTTAGAGATGACTGGTCTTCTCCAAGTGATTCTAAGGAATTTGGAGAACACTGACTTCATTAAATCTAAAATGCTATCAATTATAGGATGTACCATTATTTTATCCACCACCAAAAAAGAGAAAACCAATTAAGCCATGACACAGTGCTCTCTTATCCCATCAGTTATAAGATGTATCTTGCTTTCTTCAGTGTTAAAATGTTTCTTCAAGTGTGCATAGTACAATCAATGAAATACTGCATCGTAAGCTTAAACCCATAGCAACTGAAGACGGTGCCGGCTGTCTTCCCAGTAGAAAGCCCTTGACACAAGAGGTCCTCCTCTCTATCATTTTATTCTGAAAGGAGAGATTTTATTTAATGTTTATTTTTTGAGAGAGAGACACAGAGTGTGAGTCAGGCAGGGGCAGAGAGAGACAGAATCCGAAGCAGGCTCCAGGCTCTGAGCTGTCAGCACAGAGCCCGACGTGGGGGCTGGAACTCACAGACTGTGAGATCGTGACCTGAGCCGAAGTCGGGCGCTCAACCAACTGAGCCACCAAAGTGCCCCAAGAAGAGAGATTTTTAAAGTGACCTCAAGTTTAGGGGTTCGCTCTCTTTTTTTTTTTAAGAAGAAAACTGATTTAATTCCTTCCCTGTTGTTGGATGACAAGAGTGACCACATAAAAAGTGTATGTGAAGATAGCTTGTCTATGTGGCTTTTTAGGGAGGAGGAGACACACTCTATAATGAAGTGAAGGTGAGCGTGCATGTTGAAATACCAGGCTGCCCTTTCAAAGCTTGTGTATTCAATTGTGACCTGCTACCAAGCTGCACTGTCTTATCTGTGCTCTGTTGACATGTGCTCCTATTTGGTCCCATCATCTTATCGCTTCTCTGTGTTCTTCTTTGAAAGTCTTTGTGTCAAGAGGCGCCTGGGTGGCTCAGTCGGTTGAGCGTCTGACTTTGGCTTGGGTCATGATCTCACGGTTCGTGGGTTCGAGCCCCGTGTCAGGCTCTGTGCTGACAGCTCCGAGCCTGGAGCCTGTTTCAGATTCTGTGTCTCCCTCTCTCTCTGACCCTCCCCTGCTCACGCTGTCTGTCTGTCTGTCTCTCTCTCTTTCTGTCTCTCGGAAATAAATAAAACATTAAAAAATTAAAAAAAAAAAAAGAAAGAAAGAAAGTCTGTGTCAATACTGCTACACTCGGTAACTCACAGAATTCTGGTACCTCTGAGCCAAGCAGGGAAGCTAATCAGGACCTACGTGCCGGGAACGGGGCAAGGGGCAGATTTAGATTTGTGACGTGTCTGTTCCATGTCTCCCCTTCCACCCTCACACCTGCACCACTAACCCTGTCCACCCCCCACCCTTCACAGGGTACGGGGGAAGGAGGAGGCAGATTAAGGAAGGGGAGAAGACCAGAATGCATCCTCCAGTGGGTTGGGCAAGGAAGAAGATGAAATTAAAGATCACAAAGGCTTGCCAACCACACCATTCTCAGACAGCTCCACAATAAACTAAAAGACATGCACTCTCCAGTGTAAAATGTGTTTTAATAAATAGGAAAAAGAAAATCACTGCTGTCTATCCATACTAAAACATGCTAGAAGCATTGGGAGTGTGACCATAGCATTGGGAGTGTGACCATATACGTTTCTAAATGTCGCTAAGCTGTGCTCTAATTCAGTTTCCCCACTTTGACACTGTGACATTTTGGGCCAGATGATGATTTGTTGGAGGGAGTGGGGGCTGTTCTGTGTACCATAGGATGTTTAGCGGCATCACTGGGCTTCTAGATGCCAGTAACATCCCTCCCTTTATTGTAGCAACCCAAAATCTCTCCATCACCAAGGTCTTCTGGAAGGCAAAATTGCCTCCCCACTCTCCATTTGAGAACCTCTGCTCTAATCCCTCTGTAAAGAAAAGCTACCTAGAATGGAGTTAAAATCCCAAATGGTAACAATTTATTCCTCATCTACAAAAGGCTAAAGAGGATTCCTTATTCTAGAATTGGCTTATGCCAGGCAGAGAGAGAAAAAAAGTCATCAGCATCACTTGTAAAATGTTATCTGGGATGGTCTTGTGTCTCTTAGACTTCTTTTGCTTTTTTAATTTAAAACCAAATAAATGTCCATTGAATTATATGCCAGTTGAATTATTTGATCATTCTCATATTTAGCTCAGAAAAAGCAACCTTGCATTTTATTCAGTGATCTCTAAGAGGCACTTTCAAGTGTTGACTTCTGTTTATATGTTTCTTAAAATTCCTTTGTCCCCACTTGTTGGGATGAGCACTGGGTGTTATATGGAATCCAACTTGAGAATAAATGAAGAAAGAAAAAAAGAAAGAAAAGACAGAAAAATTCCTTTGTCCCATAAATTTCCCCAGGTTCTTCCCATACATTCTGTCTTGCTTGAAATGGCTTAGAGACTGATAGCCTAAGAAATGAGAAATATCATGCATGAGTTCAATGTCTGAAAGGAAATAATTCACTGCAATCAGATTTACTTGAAAGATGATGATTGGTTCCTTTACACAATGATCTTTGCTGTATGAAATCATTCCTTATAGAAATTTTATTAAATAGTATCTTATTATTTTTGTCAAACTTATAGTAGAGATCAAGTGAGTACGTCTGCATGAAAATACATATTCCAAAAAATGACTAATAATTAATCCATAGAAATTTGTTCAGAAACTTTATTGTAATTCACATTTTTATTTACAAAATTGTTCAGTAAAAGCAATCATGATTTCCTTTCTTTTTCTTTTTTTTTCTTTTTCTTTTCTTTTTTTTTTTTTTGAGAGAGTTAGCAGAAGAGGGGCAGAGGAAGAGAGAGAATCTTAAGCAGGCTCCATGCCCAGCACGAAGGCCCACACGGAGTTCAATCCCAGAATCTGGGATCATGACCTGAGCCAAAATCAAGAGTCAGATGCTCGCTCAACTGATTGAGCCACTGAGGGACCCTGGAAATCACTATTTCAAGTGCTGTTCAGAATCTCACCTCTTTCATCTTCAACATATGTGTTGCGAAAGAATTTTCCTTTTTGGTTATATGTGGGTTGATTGGGATTGGGCTTTTTAACATTTTTTGGTAAAGTCTGGGGCAAAAATTTATCAAACTATTGTATTAGTTAAGTCAGAAAACTTTATCACAGAGACTCTGACTCATCTGTGCTTTTAAAAATATCACACTTAGAATCCATCAATTAACACATTGTAGGGAATTTATTTAACCATGCTTTTCGAGGCATCAAACACTTCAACTCCTTTCTAAAATAAATCTCTTCCTAAGTGATCTGGTTATGTGAGGACATAGCGTCTTGACTATTTCACTTTTCTAGAAGCATGAAACATGTCTGCAGCTCTGAGGTCTGGCTCCCACTCTCTCAGCCTCCCATAGTCTTCTTCAGACTCAACAGCCTCTGTGTGGTCAACATCCATTCATAACTTAGTCGCCAACTCCAGCCCCACAGTGACATGCGCAGAAAGGCACTAATGCTAATTGTCAATTTCAGTGGCCTCGTATTTGCTTCCTCACATTCTAATAGTGTCTGCCATTCTTGACTACTGTTCTGTCATGGAATTTCTGTCCTTTGGCTTCATAATGCTCTTTTCCTCTACTCTTCCAAAATCCCAATTTCCCAGGGTCCTATCCCTTT